GTAACTAGTCTGCCATAAAAGTTAATAAATGTAAAGAATTTGAGTGATAGAAAGTGTAGAAAATGAAATTGGATAGTCTTTTGTTTGGTAATCCTAAACGATTAAAGTCAGCACTACGAAATCATATATCAGCAAGCATAATACAGGACTGAAATTCAGATTGACAACTACCTGAGGAAGACATGCATTAAAGAGTAGGTGAGAGATTTCAAAAATACAGGTCTAATACAGCGTGGAAAAATGAAACCGACCCAAACCTAATATGTCACATAAACTCTTCATTAATTGTGAACATTGGCTGAGTATGTAAATGTGTAAACATATAAGTATATATAAATAAAATATTGAACCAGTTTTCAGCTATAACATTAGGTTTTTAAATCATAGATCCAGATTCTCAAAACTGTTGACCAATAGGTAAAAAGTGAGAATTTAAAAGTAATTTATATATTTACAGAGTCTCTGTTTTTTAAAAGATGTTTAATACCCACTGGGAGAAACTAAATTTCCAAAATTTTGAAGCAGTTAAAACTAGCCATTCAAAGCAGTTTGCTTTTAATATACCATGAGTGATACTTTATTTGCTCTTGACAACATAGTGGGAAACAAAGACTAGGTTTTTAAAACTGTCTAACCAATATGATGAATGTCAGTCACTTAAAAAAAAACCAATGTAGCATAAACACACACTGTATACAGCTTTTATTCAGATTAGAATAATTGAATCAATGACAGTGATTTGCTAGGATGTCAAATCTCTCCATCATATCCTGTCACTACCAGTTTATTTTTTGTGATCAGAATCAAAAAGACAACTGTTTTGTCACCGCTTGTTTCATTAGTACTAAGAAATCACGTTTATTCTTCTATTTTTTAGAATGTCTGCTTTACTTTTTTTTCTCTCTTAATTCTAAAGACACAAATTCTTCTCATTTTCTTTTCAAAATAAAGTTTCAGAATTGATCTGTCAGTTAAAATTAAAAGGCTTTTATACTAAGCAAAGGGGCTTTTAAGATTTAAAGCAACTTCAAAAAATCGATTTAGTCCATAGATAATAATATGCAGTTACTCCACAGTTTTATTATGTCCTTTGAAAGCATTATGAATAGTACAAATATATTCCATATGAATGTTTAATCAGGTTATTATTTTAATAACTCTAACCTTTTCCTTACCTTGTTGTGATTCATTTTACACAAACATACAACAGAACAATTGCATAGCATTTGACTCTGAAAAGGAAATGTGAGGTCATCAGATATGTAAATTACTTGTCAAAATACTTAATAGGTCATTGATTTACTTCCCTGGCTGTCCTGTCTATAAAATTAACAGCCAATTACTAGTTAATATATGCTTTGCAAATAGATAAGTATAATAAAAATTGAGTGAACATCTTTCAACCCTTGTTTTAAATATAAATGAAACTTTCAAACTCAGTAGAAGTGCATTTGAATAATGAGAGTACCTAGGCTTTTCAAACACAGTAAAAGTGCATTTGAATAATAAAAATATCTAGGCTTTCTAAAATACTGGGTCCATGTGCTTTGTTTTTCTGATTCATTGGAAAAATAAGCTACTGCAGAGGGATGTATATTCTTGTTTTCTTCTGCTAAAAAAAAACCTTCTGGAAATACATATTTTCCTTCCTTCTGGAATCATTATTTGTTCTCTAGTACCCTAATAGCGTACACATAAAAATATTGGTTTCTAAAAATGCTACTATATGCATACATATTTATCTGATTGATTATGTGTACTCTGATAACAGGGGTTTTTTTAACTATCAATTTGACTCAAAAATTGAAATACTGAAAACTGCCAAATACAGTAGCTGAAATGTCCTCATATAGATCAGTGTTTCCAGTATATGAGCCCTGAGTAGTATTCATTTCTTGTGGTAGATTTGCCTTTCTTCAATATGAGGTCAATATTTTGACTACTGCAGTCTGCTCAGGTACTGTTCTAAGACTTACTGAATTTCTTGCTAATAGCCACTAGATTATATCCACTTTTCTCTTCCTCTTTTCCATGTATTTTTTTTTTTATCTCCACCTCCAGGACCTTGTAATTCTAAGCCTAGACCAAATAAAAACACTTCAAAAGGGACACTTTTCAACCAATTCCCTGTCTATCTCTAAATTTTAATGGAGACACATATAAACCCATACAAAAGGGAAGTAGAAGACACCCTATTCATTTGTTTAAGCCCATTATTAATGTCATTTCTGAGACATCATATTACTGTTCTCTAAAGGTAGTCACAACAGCATCAAAGTTAAGCAATATTAATCCTAACTTCTTATACTTTGAACTTTAAAAGGGAGCACTTTTAATTATCCATGACCAAGACAAAAAAAATTAAATATTGTCAACATTAAAGTGCAAAGCAGAAAGACATGAACAGCAGAGTATAAACATCATGCCAAGGTAACAAACACAGAACAATGTTGAATCTCAATGCCATAGAAAATAATCTTAGGAAGCTTAGTTATGATTTAAAAACAGAGGAAGAGGTGGCCATATTAGCCATAGTTATTTATCATTTCAGAATTAGGATGCACAACTTTAATGGGAAATATCCTTGGAAACTTATGGCAGTTAAAAGCACTTTCTACCTAGAGTGATTCAACTATGATTCTGTTGACCTGATTTCTTCTAAAACCAGTCAAATTTAAAAGAAAATTTGTAGATTTTCATCCTAGAAAGTAGCATCACAATATCCCTGAAGATTTCTTTTGATACAGAAATATACAGAAGTAAATGTTTACAGCAATGAGGAAAAGGCCAACTCCCAGCATTGCTACCACAGTGCTTGTGATACTGTCCCCGGAGGGCCTGGGCTTCCATACGAAGGGCAGCTCCTCTCCCTAGGGTGCAGACAGAAGGCAGATCAGTGGTTCCTGTCCTGCTGGACCAGAGGGCTTCCAGAGCTGAGCAGCAGTTTCTTCAGACTATACCAGGCTGTGTCACTGTGTCCTGGCAGCCTTGACCCTCAGAGGACATGTGTACGTGCTCAGGTGCACGCACACAGACAACGAGTTCCCGTGGCAGTCCCCTTCTCCAGTTCCCAGCACTTCTACCCACCATGCCACACCCAGTTCTCTACAATCATCTCTACCCAGCAGAGCCATGGCTGCCTGACCCTGGCCCAAATCATAGCCAGTTGGAAAATGTCCCTTCTTGCAGAGAGGAAGCAGGCAGCCAGCTGCTGCTATAGCACACACGCTCACACAGCTTTTCTCTGACAGCTCCCTCAACACATGTCCCTCAGGGAATGCAGACTGCAAAATGTCAGGAGGTAGAAATGTCTGCATGGACGACTATACCAACAGTGTGTACGTGCCAGTGTGTGATGCAGGCTGAGTGGAATATAACCACACACACACACACACACACACGCACGCATGCACACGCACACACACACACATGCACGCATACACACACACACACACACACACACACACCAAGAACTACAGTCAACTTAGGAAGTTGTCTCTAAATGCAAAGCAACTCTGAGAGGAATAAAATTATTAGTATATAGCAGCTGAGAGAGATGACTCCCAATTATCTGTTCCCAGTAATTTCTTGGCTAGAAAACATTAGAAGGATGGACTAGAAGGTTATGTTTAAACCCTCCAGTTAATGTCTATATTTCTGATCACTTACCTTCAGAGATTTAAAAAAATAAATAAAAGCAGGGTACAATCCCTTAGCAGTGTGATTTCCCACCAGAGGTTTGTTTGTGCAAGCATTTTAATACAGAATGCTAGAACTCCCAGCATTTTTACAGAAGTTTGCACAAGAAAACTTACCTATATTGTTTTATATGTTGCATAGGATAGACAGAAATAACAGTCTCAGACAAGCCTTTTTTTTTTTTTTTAACCCAACAAAGGCTTATTTTTTCCATCCTTTGCTTGGGCTCAAGCACCCCTGCCCTGCGTGCCACCACTTTAAACATGATCAGATCTGTGCTTCATTGCAAATAACAACTGACCAACAATGGGCCCTGCTTCATAGATTTGGGAATGTTTGGCTTAAGCTGCCAATGACTGAAGGCCTTTAACTCCCACCGGCCAGTCACAGTCCTCTTTGTTGTTGTCTGTTGATGTGTCTGTGCTCATTATTCCTTGACATGCAACATCCCCCCCCCCCTCCACCCTCCAACCATCCACAACAGCACAGAAAGCAAGATTCAAATGGGAACAGCTGTAGTGGTTCAATGGGAAATGATGCCTCGTGCAAAAGGGAGAGAGACAGAAAGGGGAGAGGGCCTATCTGAGAAAGGCAACAGCTTTCAGAGAGTCTTGTTTAAGAAATCTACTTGTGAATATACTTCAGTGAAATCATTGTTGAAAGAGGCTGACAATGGAAATCTGCCCAGATTGAAAATGCCGGCCCTAATTCAAAACACAATTCCTAGTTAATAGCTTGTTGCATTTTTAAATTATGTCGGCACTTGGAGCATTGAATTAAATGGCTAAACTAGGAAACCTTACCATTTTGTGTACAAGCTGTGGGTATAAATGGGCACAGAACATCTGCACACGGCTTAAAGTGGAATTTTTTTCCAACACATTTCCAATTTAGGATATCTATAAGAATTACTTCTTTAAGGGTCATTAGGATGTAAAATAGAGTATGTATGAAAGTACTTGTTGGCTTGGAATGTTAATTTAACATAGAAACAAAATTTGTAACACCACACTATAAGGTTAAAAAGAAAATAGTATAATAAAGAAAATACAAAGGCTTTGGCATGGTTTTTACAATCAACAATGGTTAATTTTGATATGTAGTTGTGAACAACTTCAAAACACTTAAGTTTAAAACTCTTGCAAGCACTTTTAATTGATTAGGAGTGATTCTAGATGCACAAAATGATTGGACTTGTGAACAATAATACAACTATATCTAAGAACAATTAACTTTTGCTGGCCAAAAAGAAACGTATGATTGAATGAAAATGTGTATAAAACATCTATAGAGTATTCTTGTCAAATATAAATGAAATTAACTTTATTATAGAAATCATTCTGGGATTTCTAGGGAAGACAAATACTTACATTTTGACATAAAACAAATCGGATTATATCGAAGACACACTCTACCTTTTAGCTATCAACTTTTTTCTTCCTTGAATTTATATCTTACCCTTTTTTTTGCACATAAACTTCATTTGTTAACAACCTTTGGAAAAACCAACAGATATTTCTTACATAAATCTAGTGCATGTTGTCCCAGGTTTAATTATATGCAAAGGAATGATACAAACTTGGAACATCAGTCCATAAACTATGAGCAGATGGGTAGAAGTATTCAATATATCTTGATAAAACTCTTAAATTCATGGCAAATCTTGTTGATCATGATTTCCTTTTTTTTTTTTCTTTAAACAACTTCATGACCAACACAGATCAAATATCCATCCAGTCTACGTTGTTCTTTTTTTTTTTTCATTATAACATACAAATGCCCATTTACAAATAATACATCAAAAGGAATAAAAGTTTGGATACCAAAATGAAGATTTGTTCCAACTGACACTGTGCCTTCTGTATGCAAAGGTCCTTGTTTCAAGTCCATCCCCAGGCTTCCAATGAGGACAATTGTAGAATGAAGTGCTTCTAAACAGCCATTTTTCTTTCTTTTCTGATCACCCAAATGTCGTGTCCACATAGTCACTGTCTAAATTAACATTTTCCTGTCTTGTTTTTTTTTTTTTTACTGTAATCTTGGCCAATATTGGGACATATCAGGTTCACTTCCAGGAACTTGAACTGGAACTGACACCCCAGGGGAAATGAGTCCTGGAAATGGATGGAAGAAATAGACATGTAGATCTTCTCTTCCAGAGATAGACATGGTGTATGAACTTACAGACTTTCTTTTAAAAAAAAAAAAACTAATACTCCTTAACATGTTTACCATACTTTAAAAACAATATTCCAACTCTTACAAACAAAAGCAGCACCTTCAGAACATGTTATACATTACTATTTGACTCCCAAGTTCCCCCACCACAAAGAAAAGAACACAGCATCTATCAACATATATGTATGGTACTTTACCAAGGAAGACAAACATGGGATATTCAGTAACAGTGGGAGACAGAGTGTGCTTAGGAGAAGCCCACAACTTCCCGAAGCCCACCCTGAGCTCAGTGAGCTCTATGGGTATGCTTTGACTAATAATCTCTATTCTCAGAAAACTTAAGTATTAAAGCCTTCTCTCCACATGCAACTCATAAGTCCACGTTCGGAAGACAACTACTGTCTATATTACGCCAAGTTACTCTCATTTTAGTCGGTTTTTTCCCTCAGAGACAAAGGAAGCAAGGGGTTAAATACATTCTTATTTCTATGCCTAGCCAGGTTTGTAAGTAAACTATGGGTGCCATTTGAGAGATCAGCTGGTGAAAGATGCTCTACAGGACCCCTCATCCCCAAGAGCAGAGCTCACCTGTGGAAGTGGTGCCCGAGGTGCCCATGGGCTGACTCGTCATGTGTGTCTGCATGTGCGGGGGTGTGTAGGTATCGTAACTCCGCCCATTCACTGAAGGACTGGTGGGCAGCATGCAAGAATATGAGGAGGTCTGGCTGGGGACAGGGGGCTGTGAGGAAAAAAGCAAACCTGTGGTTACTGAGCATACCACCGCTTCTCCGGGCTCACTCTTCCCTAGGACTTCTGCCAACAAAGTCTGCTCACAGAGAATGCTTTTCATGCCAGGCACTGGAATTCCAGGTGATAGACCAAAGGCCACAGCCAGGGTCCAGGTGCCTCCACACTGAACATCTAAAGCACTGTGAATTCAAATTCAGCCATTGGATAAATACTAACAAGACTTCATCCATGTTCCTCTTTCACCTCTGGTGGCATCATGAGAGAACTTACAGCACAACGTAAAACACACACCCGTTCTCTCTCAAATGTGGACCTATTTAGGACTTCCGTGACCCTCAAACCTGAGATCTCAAGCTTAGGGACAGAGCATAGTAGGAGGAGCCCTAGGTAAACTGTAGTGAACTTGTAGGATTAAAGATTCCTTGAAGTGCCATCTCTGTAATAACCTCGGGTTAAATCTAATTCATCCTCATCCTGAGAAATCATTATGACTGCCTAACAGATCCAAAAGCCCTGATTGAGTTTTGTCCACAAAATTAAGCACGGAGAGTGGTAGCACTGAGGAGGCAAAAAACCTTCTGGTAACTAGATAAGAAGTATGTAGATGGGGGGCTGGGAAAGTGGCTCAGTGGTAGAGTGCTTGCTGAGCATGTGAAGCCCTGGTTTCGATTCCTCAGTACCACATAAACAGAAAACGCCGGAAATGATGCTGTGGCTCAAGTGGTAGAGTGCTAGCCTTGAGCAAAAGAAGCTCAGGGACAACATTCAGGCCCTCCAATTCAAGCCTTGGAACTGGCAAAAAAAAACCTGTAGATGGTCCGTGCCTATAATGTCAGCTAGTTCAGAGGTAGAGTTTGGGAAGATCATAGTTCAAGGCCAGTCTGGGAATGGGAAGGAATTTTCAAGCCCACCATCTCAATCAACAAGACAGACATGATATACCTGTAGTCCCAATACAGAGAAGGCATATGTTGGAGAATCATGGACCAAACTAACCTGGGCAAAAATATATAAAGTAAAAACTAAAGCTGGGAGCCAGACACCACTAGTAGCTCACACCTGTAATCCTAGCTACTCAGGAAGCAGAGATCTCAGGATCACAGTTCCAAGCCAGCCCATGCAGGAAAGTCCATGAAACTCTTAACTCCAATTAATCACCAAGACGCCTGAAATGGAGCGGTTGTTCAAGTTAGCCTTGAGCATAAAAGTTCAGCAACAGCACCCAAGCCTTAAGTTTAAGCCCCAGGACCGACAGACAGACAGACAGACAGACAGACACACACACACACACACACACACACACACACACACACACACACGAGGATTTGCCTCAAGGCTTAAGTGGTAGAGCACCTAACAAGATTGAGGCTCTGAGTTCAAACACAGTGCAAAAAAAAAAAAGAAAAGAAAAGATGCATGGCCAGGACAAAGCCCCTCTATTTAACGGAAGAAAATTAACAGAAGCATAGACTCTGTAACAAGAGAATAATGATCCACCCAAGTAAATGGACAGAATGCTTACCCCCATTCCAAAATACAAAGAATAGTTTTCTCTGAACAGTAAAATTTACTGATCTGTTTTATTTTCATTATGCTTTATGAAAGCATGTACTTTTTGAACTATATAAGTTACATAATTTTGTTTGGTGGTGGTGGGATGGTGATGGTGATGGTGGTGGTGGTGGTGGTGGTGGTGGTATGGTGTGGTGGTGGCGGTGGTGGTGTGGTATGGTGGTGGTGGTGGTACCAGTCGTACTACTTGAACTCATGAACTGGATACTGTCCCTGAGCTTTTTTGTACTCTACCACTTGAGTCACAGCTTCATTTCCAGCCTTTGCTGGTTAACTGGGGATAAGAGTTTCATGGACTTTTGCTTTAACCCCAACCATGATCCTCAGATCTTCAACCTCTTGAGCAGCCACTGGCATAAGCTACTGGCATCTGGCAAATTGCATCATTTCTAAGTCAGAATTTGAAATAAATTGACTCAACATGCCAATGTGAATGTCAGGCAAAAAAAAAAAACAACTAATATCTTAGCCATGTGTTCATTTCAAACTTTTCCCAAATACACATTTTTGTCATCTTAACAGAAACCTAGGTGTCACTACAACATATAAAACTCAACATGATTCCCAGTGCCCTTATTGAAATCAGATGATGATTGCTCATGTCAAGTTCCAAGAGTCAAACAGGACAAGAGAGCCAAGAAAAAGCAAAGGATATGAATCACAATGCATAAGTCAGAATTGCAGCTTACATTTGTTTCTAATTCCTATAGTCACCTCCTCTCGGGAAACCTGACTTCTGAAAAATTCTGCACCAATGATAACAACATTAAAGCAGGAGCTGTTAATCCCCTAATCACCAATTGCACTGTGGTCAATATCCAGATGCAATCAAAATAAACATGTTAATAAGTCCTCAACAGTTGATTAGCTACCTGTTCTTATAGTCTGAAGACTGTGAAACATTTATTTTGCTGATATTTGATTTCAAAGACCAGCTATGTTCAGTACAGAACAATCTATGTAACCCCAGAACCATTTCCAGAGGGGTTCAACAGACTAGCCTCAGACCATTGAGCTGCTGTATGGAAAATGCCCACCTGAAGACAGATCTTTAATTTCCCACCAGGAAATCATCCCACCAGGAAACATGCCCTGTACAACTTACATTACAAAGCACTAACCAAATACAGATGCTAGTGAGGTAAAGATTGATAAATATTTGGGACAGAACTAAAAACAAGGGCAGGTTATAACACCAGGTGAATAGCATCAAGTTTCCAGTCAACTAGGATTGTCACAACTTATTACATCAGTTACAGCCCAGACACATTAAATTTCCAGCAAACATTTTCTATTACATTTTTATTTTAAGATGTAGAAAGAAAACGGGTTTTTTTCTACCATGCTAAACCTAACTCACTGTGTAAATGTAAGCCCCCTTTCTCATTCTTTTTTCTTCTATACCAGTTTATCCAAAGTACCCTAAATAATGCCCAATATGCATACATGCATTCTGTATTTACTAACATGAACACCAAATTGTCTAAATAGTATCCTCGTAGTGTCTCATAATTCACTAGCGTTATTTCCACAAGTTTCATTGGTACACAAAACACGCCTCACTACCAGCAACATTATCAAGCTAACATGATGATAAAAGGCAGATTAACTTGACTGAACAGGTCCAGTGTTTGTTTTTTAGGGGCATGAATCAATCAATCAATCAACTAAAAGAGATTGGATTGACTGTCTCAGACTTGACTGGTCAAGCTAATCACTGTCGTGAGAAAGGCTCCCAAGAGGGCAAACATAGCCGATGAGGTCTACAGGCCCTGACCCATTACCAGTTCCTCACTTCTGACCCATTACCCATTCCTCCCATTTTGTGCAGCTGGCGCTAGCCTCACTTACTTGCATAGGCAGGTTGTTAGCCATGGTGAAGCTGGGCATGGGTGGCAGAGCACTGTATGTGTTGGTGAGGGCGGTGTCTGTTCGGCCCAACATAGAGCCAGATGTGAAGGAGGAAACTACAGGGAGAGAGAAATGGCAGATCATCCTGGTGAGAGTCAGAGTCCACAGCAAAGAGGTTTAAGCACATATCTTGGTAGTGCTAGTATTTCAAGTTACCAGGCGTGGTGGGCTGTGGGATCGGTTGGTAGACACTGGTGCTGAAACTACTGCTGATAGGAATGTGACTAGGGGTGTTGCTAGCCTGTCTTCTCTGGTTCCGGAGTTTTTCTTCTCTTCTCCATTTGGCCCTCCGATTAGAAAACCATACCTAGAAATTTATGGAATAGGTTAGCCTTGTTTTCTCCAAGTCTGTTACCTCCACTGCCACCCTCCTGGGCTTATGGGTAGTAGAGTATTATCAGGCCAAACCTGACACTAGGTGTATAAAGGAAGCACATTTGTGTGTAGAAATATCCAATGGTATGCATCACAAAGCATAAAGAACACATGATCCCTGAGTACCTGTATTCTTGCTTCAGGTAGATCTATTTTGGCTGCTAGTCTTTCCCGGGCAAACACATCTGGATAATGGGTTCTCTCAAACTCTGAAAGAATAAATTGATTTGATATACTGTGGCCAAACTACACAAAAGGCATGAACCAAGCTTTCTTGATTCTGTCTCTCCACTCATTCCATTACCTCCAACTAATTTCCCTTCATTGCATCCACTGCACTTCAAAGAACCTTCCCACCAGAATCAACTTAAAATTTTGTGTGGAATGACATTCAATGACATGAACTCTGTCTGTGGCTTGAAATAGCCAAATCATCGTTTTCCCTTTATATTTCAGACGTTTAGTCTTTGAATCACTCACATGTGAAAAGAAGAAAGAAAACACACACGTACACACCCTGAAAAGGTGGCCGGAGGGAGGGAGGAAAAAAAAGGCAGAAAGAAAAAAAAAAAAAAAAGAAACCTTTTCAGATATCCCTGGCTAAATTTAGCTCTTTGTATGGAAGATGTGGCATTTGCTTTGATCTACTGCCTCTCTACTTCGAAAACTCCCATCACCTTTCTCCAGAGCCTCAATCTGCTCTTGGGTGAAGGAGGTTCTATTTCTCTGCAGCTTCCGCTTCAGCTGAAGGCGCATTTGAGCCTCATCTGAATCCTCTCCATTGGAACTGATGGAGTTGGTATTCTCTCCCCCTCCTTCCTGTTGCTGGCAGCCATCTGGAACAAAAAGAACAGGACAGTAAGAGAAATGTGGAATCACTTGGAGCCGCCAAAAGGGACCTGATGTAGTTATAAACTCCAAGAGCCAGATCATCTAAGTAAGTGTCACAGAAATATTCCCAAGGTAATGGTCAGCTTTCTTTAGTGAAAAGCATTGGCCACCACAGTGGTTACCAGATCACTATCCCTTTCTCCCTGTTTTTATCAAGATAATCACATACTCACTACGTGACATTTGTCTGACAAAGCAAAAACTGAAGTTTCCAATCAAAATGATCTTTCCTAAGTAAGCCTGAATCCCCAAATGCCTCATCCCAATCCCTTCCCCTACAGAATGTATTTACCTATAGCTGTGTTGGGAAAATAGAAGAGGATGTTCAGGATTTCAGCTGATCTATAATCAGTAATTCCTATCGAATCAATTAGATGTTGATAGGTTTGTAGAAAATGCTATTAAGAAACCAAACCAAGCTTGTAATCTTTAAAAAAAATATTTATCTAGTTTTTATTTGAATTCTGCACAGTCAATTTCATTTTAAAGGTTGTGAATTTAGAAGTGCTCGCATTGTTCTGCAGTTTTATTCAACTATTGTATGAGTGCGCTTTGCCTTGACACCTATTACGAGCACAGCTGTAATTATATCATCACCAAGAACAGGCTATAATTGCTGAAAATGGAATTTTATATTTAGATAAAAGGACTGTCCATTCTTTGTAATGTGTTGCACCAGAGAAAAGTAAGATTTCTTTTAAAATTTTAACGTGTAATTTTAAAAAAAGAAATAGTAGATAGTTCACTAACTAGCTAAATATGCTATGCTGCAGCTGAATCCTTGGCATATCATTTAAATGGTACATTTTTAATTAGGGCATTCCACCACTTTTAATGTAATTTCTATCATTAAACAGGAGAAAGTTTTATTGTTTCCTTTGCTGCTTGGAGGGCGAGATGTGCACTTTGGCTAGCTATCTCTGCCTCACACCTTGCCTGCCAGGCTCCAGCCTGTGGGGCAGGAAGGGAAGGAGTCAGGCCCTGGCAGAGTGGGTCTTAGGTTCTGAGTCCCAAAGCCTCCAAGGAACAGCAACAGGGACCGCCCCCCCCCCTCCCAATGGAGAAACTTGGCCAGTTGGGGTGGGGGTGGGGAAGGGCCCCTGCTAGGAAGCCATGGTGGGAATCGGCATGCCCAGGAATATCATTTATAACCAGAAGACAATGGGCAGCGCCTTCAAAGAGTTCAGGGAATTGTGACAGGATCTAGTGGGATCTTTTCAGGAACTTTCAAATGTTTTAAAACCCAAACTTTCTCCCCCATTTAAACAGGCGGATTCATCGGCACTGGCCACCATATGGGCCCTTGGAGAACTATTGAGATGACCACCAACACTTGAATAGCGAGGGGCTGCTTTTCAGCGCCACACAATGCCCTGCGAGTAAGGGAAACTATTAAACTCCTGGGGCAGGAGCGTTGGCAAACTTTCGTGGGCAGAATTTTGAGGCCACAATGAGCACGGACAACAAAAGGATTCTCTTGAGGCGTGCAGCGGGCCACATTGTGTAACAAGAAGCCCAGTCAACAGACTTTTCAGCGAAGTGTGTTAACCCCTCTGCTCTGCTATCATTAATCACTGTCCAAAGAGCGGGCGCCTCAGTGCTATTTAGGGCGTTTGGCTGGGGGATGGAGAGCGGATGGGGAGGGGGGAGGTAGGGGGTGGGGCAGGGCAGGGGGTGGAGGGAGGTAGGAAGGTGGAGGAGGACCCAGGCTGGGTGTGTGGGGAGGGTAGAGAGAGGAAGGATGGGGAAGGGGCAATGAGGGAAGGGGGAGGATGGGACTGGGTCCGGGAGGAGCCAGAGGAAAAGGGGAAAGGGATCTCCAGAGACATGGAAGCTGAGAAGGTAGAAGAAGAAAAGTATGCAAAGAGGAAAGAGAAGAGGGTCAAAGGAGAGAGAGAGAGAGAGAGAGAGAGAGAGAGAGAGAGAGAGAGAAGATGAGGGAGTGTGTCTTAGTAAACAAGCCTTGGTTCTTTGGGGTCACCTTGCATTATATTAGAAAGGTAGGGGAGGGAGCAGCTAGTCCCAGGGAGACAAGCTGGACTCACGTGTGCAGGCACAAGGGTCTGTGCTAATTTACTGCCCAAGTTTCTGGGTGACGTGTCCATGTAGGTTGCAGGGGAAGAAATGACTAGCGCGTCCCCTTCCCTTTCCCTTCAGGATGGGTGAATGAGGAAAACTAGAAAGAGCTCTTTTTGCCAACTAGAAAAAGTCCATGGGCTGTTGCTTTTGGCAAAAACACAGTGACCATCCCACGTGGGGGGGGGGAGGGGGAAAGAACACAATTGCCATCCCCCAGGGATGGTCACAGCCTTCTAGGAAGACTGTGAACCCAGCCCCTTTTCTGGCACATTAGGTCTTGCTAATTCAACAAAGCTGCCGAGGTCTCCTTCGGAAGACCCTTGCAGTTACCATTCTCGGCTCTCCTTTTTGCTTCTCTGACATGCCCCTAGTTTTATAGCATGGCAATTTATATAAGTTTATATGAATATTTATACTCTCTCTGTCACACACACACACACACATCACATGCATTCTTACACATGCCTGCCATCCCTACGTGCCTAGAGCCCGCTGGGTCTCAAGTGCAGGAAACATTTAAGGGAAGGAGGAAGTCACCTGGGACACCCCCCCTCCTCCCCACCCACCCCCAGGACTAGATTTCAAATTTTAAAGACAAAAACAGAAGGTTGCAGTGACAGCCAACAAGGAGAAAACCCATTGCTACAGGATGCCCTCCACGTTGCTGGAAAGTGTACACCTCTTACAATGTGTTTTCCTACTTAAACTAACAACTATAGTCACTCAGATTGGGCACTTTTTACTCCTCCCTCCTCCACCCCACACCCTTTAGTGGCTTTACCTTCCACTCTTTTAACAAAATAAAACTAGAAGTCAGACCTCAATTCCCCACACCATAGACCTAAGTGGTAGACAATTAAGATATCTTCTTTAAAAAGGCGCCCCCTCCGTGCTGCGCAAAGAAGGGGGGCTTCAATGGGCGCCGTCCACCTTCCAGCCTAATCCGTGAGAAGGCGAGAGAAATCCTCTCCATTATCCCAGCCCCAGGAACATCTGACGCTGGGGATAGGATTTGTTTCTTGGAAGGAGGAGAGGGTGGGGGAGAGACTCTGGGAAATAAAATCATTCCTTAGTTTCTTAGTGTCTAAATCAGTGAGGCGGAAAACAAGCAAGAAAAGATAGCAACCCGGTTGCGGCACCTTTTCAGCTTTGGAGCTCAGATCAAAACATTGTAGCATCTGTTGAAAGAGAAGACTGACTAAATCCTATAGAGGGCCGGGGTATTATGGAGGGGGGTGGGGGTGGGAAGGGAGGAGGAGATAAGAGAAAGTGTCTCCGTGATCTCCCCCCCCCCCAAAAAAAACCCACCAAATCACTGGAGAATTCGGGGCTGGATAGAGTTGTCTCTGGTTGTCAGCCCACCTCACGATTAGCGTGGATCAGATGGAAACCGTATTTGTCTCCCTCTAAGACCTAACCTTGCCTTATGCTTTTGGAGTAATGGACCCTTTAACACGTAAGAGGAGCTTTCTCCCGGGTCGGGAAAGGGGGCCAGGAAAGAAGGGGAAACCTTCTCGGCCACTGGGCTAAGCTCGCTTGGGACCACCATGCGCCTTTCCCACCGCAGCAGGGGCTGTGGCCGTGGGACAGGGTGGGGGGGGGGGGCAATCCTGGAGGCCTGAGTCCTCTGGACAGGTGATGTCCCAATGTTCTCTAGTACCTAAGCTTGTAGAACTGAAGAACTCCAGGATTAGCGCCACCTCCCGCCCCAAATGTCACCACCAGGCTACTGGCCCACCAACCAACTTGCCTGGATGAAAATCTGCCCTCACCAGGCCCTGGTGGCGCTTCTGTTCTGGAGCCAGGTAGCAAAAAGAGAGTATCCATCTCCTGGGCTCCTTTCCCCCCAGCAATGAGCCCTGGCTTCTAGAAGCCTTGTGGGTGGAGGCTGTAAACTCCACTCTTCCAGGCCTGGTCTGGAGCCCTTTCCCAAGAAATCTTTGGAGGGAGACTGCAGGGGTGAGATCGGCAGGGGGAATGGACGTGTGGAGTGTGAAGTTCAAGCGATCACTGGGGTGTGTCCAGTGTGACCGTGGGGATCCTACTGTTTCAAATCACTGATCTCGGTTGTCTACAACTGGGCAGATCACTCGCAGGTCCGGGAAAGTGTGAGCTCAGTGATGCACTCGCAGGGGTGGTGGGTTCGAAGCCCCGCAAGCGGTGGAAAGGGTGATGCAGAGAAGTGGAGCCCCTGGCCCAACAGGAGGCCTTCCAGCGGCCAAGCGGCCGCGCTGGGAAACAAGGACCGAGCGCTTTGCTCCCTATCTTCCCAGTGTCCGTCCTATATTGTTTTCTGCTCTTAAAACTGACATGTCTAATTGGCAATTGGTGCCGAATCGTGTCCAGAGGTCTCTTGTGGAACATTTCTACAGCTGTCTCCTTCAACTAGACGCTTATTCATGTCGCCTTAATGAGAAACAAAACGTTCTCTAATGAGCAATTACAGAGCGACAGGATTGTTCCCATAACAAATTCTTGCGAGTGACAGAAGCATCCTTTGTACCAGATATTTCGCATACTGTTACCGATTTTTCCCTTCTCTAGCCTGGCTCCGTGGAGGCGCGGGGCACGCGGAACCGACCTGAGGTCCCCAACGTGGGGACTAGCGGGCAAGCCCCGGGCAGCCACACGGTCATCGCGGTCCCTACGTGCCACCCCCGCCCTGGAGCCTCGGCCCGGGTCCCCAGGCTCTGTAGTGCTCCCAGGAGTGAGACGCCACGTCCCATTATCCCGCATATTATCTCCTTGTCACGAGGACAACAAATACCGATTAATCTTCCTAGTAAACTGTTTCCTATTCTTGACCAAGCTACTTGTGGGGGGAGGGGGCGGAGATTGCTAACCGAGCCCCACCCGCTCCTTTCCCTCCACCCCTTCCCACAGACCCCACCTCTGCGCCCAGCCCCGAGCCCACAGCGCACCTCCTAGTCTAGTTAGTAGCCTCCTCACCTACCCCACCTCTTCTGACTAGTCACCACCCACAGAGAGTGAGAACTGGGGGCTTAACCGGAGGGGAGGGGGGAGAGAGACGTGAGATGTTGACCTGGGTGCTTTAGTTGGGAAAGCACCACTTCCCATGCTCAGGCTTTCCTCTGCGCCCTACTCATAATCACATAATTTGTCAATTACGGCAAAAGGCAAAATGATACAATCATGTTTACCTCGCAGCCTGTCAGTGTGTTAACTTGTCACATTTCTACAGCAAGGGGGCTCTCCGTGCATTGTAATGTCATATTTGAATGGGGCCACCACAGTGCTTTGCTCTTACACATACTCCTACCCATGAGTGCGCACACACACACACACACACACACACACACACACACACACACACACACACCCCTAAGGTCAACAAGATGGTTTAACAAATACCACCTACATACAATGCAAGTCACGGTGACCTAGGCTTTCTGGCGCAGTCCCCTTACTACATTCTCCAGGTACCGAAGCCTGGAAGAGGAAAAGGTTGGAGCAGGAGAGGATGTCCATGGACAGAGGGAAGGATAGCTTGCGTAGATTACCTTGTGGAGGTTGCCCTGGCACCGAAGTCCCGGGATACCAACCAGGGCGGGTGCCCCAGCTTCCGGTCTGTCCATTCAACATCCTTAGCTTATCATACATGCCGTCTGCGCCCATCTGTTGCTTTTCGCTAGCCAGGTTGCGAAGAACTCTGTTTATTGATGACACCTGCAAAGCAAACCAAATCAAGCCAAATGGTAGCGTGTCCTGAAGATACACTCACTCCAACCATTTTATGTCCCCCATCTCAGCTCACCCAACACTTGAAAGAATGACTCTCAACACATTACAAAGCTCCCAGACTCCCCTCTCCCCCCAGTGAGTGAGTTTGAAGTTACTTCATGAAAAGAATGATGACCATCTTTTTGGGCATGGAGACTGAGTTGGGTAGGAAACTGGCAGGTACTTCATTTTCTCTAGGTGTCTTTGGTGACCTAATGCAGGGGATTGTTTTCTTTGTTTAAAACCTTCCTGATCAAAGAGTTAGACTTAGCCTAGAAATTGCTCTCATACTATTTGATGGTTTTCTATTAGAGCAGAACTAGGTGTAAGATGCCTGAAGAACTCAGGCAGATGCATTTGTAGGGAATAAGAACCAGTTTTCATTTTTATTTTCCTTCTTGATTCAAGTGTATTTCCCCAGCCTCTGCCCTTTGGTTTGAAGCATGCAAATGAAAAGAATAACTTTCTACACTTGATTCCTATATCTCAGACAAAACGTCAGGGCATTGCTCTCAATATCTGGCAGGTACAGGGGACACTTGCGAATCAGGGAAGGGACAATAATGAAGAGACACTGAGAGAGTGAAGAGCAGTAAAGAAAGAGGTGGCAAAAAGGAGAGGAAGACAGCAATGTGGATCTTAGTGCAGTGAAGGCAAATGTTCTCAGTGAACTTACACTTGGTATGTTATCGTTGGTACAGACCCCCTCGGACAATAATCTGTCTCGGATTTCCCAAGCAAAGATGGACGGGCACTCCCGCTTATACTGGGCTATTTTGCTTACAACTTCTGGAGTCGCTACTCTCGGTTTACTACCACCGATTGCCCTGGGTCTGATGGAGCCAGTCTCGTAATACCTGCCCAGAATTTTACTCACACATCCGTTGGACACCTGCATAGGGGAAGTGGACAGAAAACCACATTATTAATGATTTCAAGACAAAAATAAAATTGTTTAAGTATGCATTAAACAATGACAAGCTTACGTTTTGATTGTCCAGCACTTGGACTTTTGCATCTGCATGGGTCTATAACACAAAAATATACCTTCAATGGTATGAGAACTTACTGTAGAGAGCTTTTTTTTCTTAAAATTACATTTGTAGCCCTAAAAACTACAAATATGATGATACTTTCAAACATTTTTGAACTAAAAAAATAATTTTTAAAAATTTAAAAACTGTTTTCCTAAACAATGCCTGAAGATGCATCAAAACGAAGTCAAGTTAATTTTTGTTTAGTGTGCTGATTTGCTTAAAGTGGCATCATGTCTTAAAGAACAAAGGAGAAAAGTTAACTGAATTTTTGCATTTTCTTTTCCCTTACAAGTATGCCCAAATGATTAAATGTGAATTAGAAAGGGGCAGACAGCATTTGCTTTTTCAAATCAATATATATGCTTTGTATGCATGAAGAATGCAAACAAATCTATCAAAATCTAAGGTGAGCCAGGGGGGATGGGAAGAGGAGAATTAAATTAGGCCAGTTTATATAACTCAGCTCCTTACAGTTCATAAACTGTTACTACAATAAATGTATGCCTTTATCAAATGAAAAGAGAAAGGTTTAAAAAAATCTTCACACACATTTTTTCCCCTTAAGCAGATGAATTATCTTATGTAACTGACTCAGGTTGCTTGCAAGAGGTAGGGAAGGATGGTGGAAGGGGGGAAAGCGGGAAGGCAGGGGAATGGGGATGGGAACTGGGCCCAATAGGTAAAGGTGGGGGGGTCCATAATTAGCGAAGTTTACAGTAAGAAATGAAGAGAGAGCGCTGAGAGTGGAGGGCCGCAGGGGGGCGGCGGATGGGGCGGCGCGCCGGGAGGATCACCTGCAGAATTCGGGAAATGTCGCACGGCCGGGCCCCGCTGTGAGCTAGCTCTACGATCTTCTGCCGGGTGGAGTCCGGCAGTGGCCTCCCGTTGACAAATACACCACCGAGCTGATTCACTCCGCTGTGACCTGAGGAAAGGAGGAAAAGAGGAAGAGAGAAGAGGAGAGGACAGCAGATCAAAGGGAAAAGGAAGAAGAGGAGGAAGAGTGGAGAGGAGGAAGAGGAGGAGGAGGAGGAGAAGAAGAGGAGGAGGAGGAGGAGGAGCAAGAAAGAGGAGGTGGAAGAAGAAGAAAAAGAAAAAGGAGAGAGAGAGAGAGAGAGAGAACCACAATGCATCCTTAGCTCCCTGCCAACCTGTGCCAACCTCAGCAATCAGGTCCTTGGTATTGCTCAAAACACCCATGACAATAGGAGCACTAGCCCAGCAGAGCACTGGGCAGCCGGGCCTCACATACATTCTGTTCTCTGCACCCTGGATTGCTGAAACTCCAATGTCAGACCCAGGACAACCAACAAACCAGCAATGTTTCCAGCCCACTCCTTCATAAGTGATCCAGCTGCCTTGAAACTCACAAGGTGCAAACAAACTGGCTCTACAATTTTCTTCTCAAGAATCCTTCTATATATCTTTTCAAACCCAGATTCTATAGCACCCCACTCCAGCCTCTGTGGCGTAGGAACCGTGAAAGCAAATCCCACAGCCCCGCACAGCTCTGTTGGACATTAACATCCAGAAACATTTGCATCATGATCAAAACTCCAGCAAAGGCACCCCCACAGCACAGGGGCTTTGTGGACTGCTAGCATTATTATTATTATTATTTATTTATTTCAATAGAAGAGAAAGGAAAAGAGTAGAGAAGAGCCAAAGCAACAAATCTGTAGCTAGTGAACCCTTCGCTGGGTTTTTGTGCCACCACTTTCAAGCACTTAGGTTCAGAACCCGCACCCAGCTGAACAGTGCTCCAGCCCCGCAAGTAGAACTGAGAGCGAGGAGTTTTCTCACCCAACACCAACACACTTGCTTTACTTTAGAAGCCGAACTCTCGCCCTCCCTCAGCCAAGGACACAAATACTAGCAATTTTTTTTTAAAAGACAGAAAAGAAAAAAACAATCTATCATAGTGTCTACATCCCTTCTTCTGTATCCTGTATCCCACAACCTCACCCCATTGTCTGGTCTTAGAAAACACTTCTAAATTACCCCCTCCAGAGAAACCACAGACACACAAATACATTTCCACTTCCTCAAAAATTCTCCAACCTGCAGCCCCGACTCTAGCAAGCAGCCCTCCCAGGAGAAGATGTGGCTTCCTGCTCGTCTCTTCTCTCTTCTCTCTTCTCCTCTCTTCTCCTTGGAGCCTCCTGATAAATTGACTCCAGGAGCCTGAGCTTCTTAGCAATAAATAAGCTCCAAATATAGAAGAGGGGGGAAAATATGATGAGCCTCTCTGACATTTGTCTTTAAAATAAAACTAGCTGCACGTCAAGTTTGAGCTTAATTTCTGGAAATAGGCGGAAGTCGCTCCGGATCATGCATGGAAGGCTAATTGAAAAGATCAGTCGGGGCGCTTGTGGCAGCCTTGTCACTTTGTGACAGTGCTCCGCTCCGGGAAATTGCATCGTCACGACAAACGGGACCGTGATAAAACGACCCTTTCCGTCCCTATTTGTAGATCACTCAGACAAGATTGAACTGCACTCGTTTCCCCTTCGAGGGGAACCGCGTTTTCAGGGTAGCCCAAGGCTTAGGGCTGGGGGGGGGGCTCACTCAGGGAGGGGGACCCAGAACTTCAACTGGATGAGAAGTGACAGGCCTTTGGGGATCTAGGCTCCAGCCAGGGCAAGCACAAGCCAGGACACATCGAGGACAGCGCTTTGCCTACAGAGCAAGGCCTATGCTGTGCTTCGGGTTTCTCCTGAATTCCCTTCATCGCCTTCCTTGGTCTCCCAATTCTCCTATAATTGCTTCAGCTACAAAGCCCCACCTCTGGGCACAGAAGCCTTCCAGAAAAAAGAAGGGCTGGCCCACAGAAATGGAGAGGACTTTCCAAACTCCGTGCATAAGCCGGTGCAATTCCAGCCTCCAGAAAAAGCCGAAAGCCGAAAGCCAGTGGAGGCATGCAAGGCCACCTCATCTTAGACTTTCCTCCTTCCCCATCTATTGCAAAAATAACGTGACCACCACAGCAGCCACTATGGCTGGCGGGTGTTGGCCCAGGAGACACCAAGAACCAGACAGTCTCTGCCAGCATCGAAATGGCAGGGAGGAAGCCCGGCTCTCAAGTCTCCCTCCCAGGTTAAGCCTCAATCATTGTGTCCCTTCCCTAGGGACGGCTGGCGCTCTCGCCCAGTGGCGATGATTATGCGCCTAGAATTCAACCGCGAAGCATCTAATAGGAAAACATATGGTGTCAATTTGGATGCTCCGCTCCTCCTGCACACCCGGGGAATGAACGGCACAAAGCCCTGCAGGCTGGCCCGCGACCCCGTGGCCCTCTGGGCCTGCCAGCCAGACCTCAGTGGTAAATGCTCGGGACTGAGAGCCTGGACCCACCTAGCCTGCTTCTAAGGAAGTCTGAGTTGGGGGTAGGGGTGGGGATCTAGTCACCTGGTAGGGTAGGCAAAAGCATTTGCCACATGATGGAGGGTAGGGGGATCCTGGCCAAGCCCTGGGCTTTGCAAGGTTCTGTAAAAACGTGCCTCAAGGCTCTACCTCTGTGCCCTTCCCTTACCTTTGTGTCTACCAACTCCTGTAGCAGTAGGAGACAGCCAGCTCCACCAGAACTGATGGGGACTCTCTTAAAGATGGGTCACCAGAAGACCTAGGCCTTCGCACACTTCAAGTGAAGCCTAAGCCCGGGTACAGACTCCAAACCTGAACCCAGCCTAGTTTTACTGGGCCTTCAGGCTGCCATCAGGCCTGAGGCTCTAGGCCTAACCCTGCCATGCACCAGCACCTACTGACTGAAGTCAGGCAGGTGGTACCCAAAACGGCCCAAGCAAAGGAAAGCAGACAGACACTGGAATATCAAAGGCACCCGTGGGCCTGGGATCACCAGGATCCAAGCAGGGAAGGGTATTTCCAATTCTTGACACAGCCTCCATGCTTTTTCCATGTCTACTAAACCCTGCTCTCAGCCTTACACCGGTAACAATTCCCGCAGTGCTGTTTACCAGCCCCACCCTGCCTCAGGCCTGGGGTGAGGCTTTCCTGCAAGGCCTCTAGCTGAAATGGGGAGGGGAGGAGCTGAGGGTGACTAGCGGAGGGAAGCCCCCCACCTGGCCTTGTCTGTGGAGACATTCAGTCTTGGTTAAATCCAAAGGGGCCTCCTTCTCCCAGCACAACCAGAAGCCTTCGCCCCGCCCTAACTCAGCCCAGCCCTTCTCTCTGGGGTCAGAGCCCGGGCAGGGGCGGGGAGGGGGTGTGAGTTACAGGATTTGGGGGGGTGGGGATGGGGTTTCTCTACCGCAGCACGGAAAACTTAGGCTGTTTCTGTTGGGCGCAGCCCTTGAGTTTCCAGAATCAAGAAAAGCAAAGCAAATGTCCTCCCCTGGCGGGCTACTTGGCGCTGAGGGGTGAAGACACTACGGCCGATCCAGGGCTTTTTTTCCCCCTCCCGCCAGGTGGCCAGACCAGCTCCAGTTGCCCTGAGCCTCTGAGCCCTCCCCTGACCAAGGCTGGTTCCCGCGCCTCCAGCCCCGAAGTCCGCAAAAGACCGAGGCACTTACTGTTCTGCATACTGACGCTGGCGGGGGGCTTCAGGATCCCAGGAGGCTCGAATTTGGGGCTCTGTTAGCAAGAAAATAAAAGTTAATCACCAGGTAGACTTGATTCCCACCCAACAGCCTGGGGCCAAGACGGGGAAAGTCTTCCTCTTTCAAGAAACTGATCTATTCTACCACTTGGGGCCACCACAGGGTCAACAAGATCCTGCTCTCCAGTGCATACCAAAATCTACCCTTCAGCCTTTCAAATAAAAATGCTCCAAGATTCCCAGTCCCCCCCCCCAAAAAAAATCCTTTAGTAGTTAATCTTTTAATCAGAAGAAACGATGACCCGATTTTGATTCCCCCCCCCCCCCATCTGTACTATGATGAGAAAATATTCTGGAATGGTTTGTTTCAATTCTTCCAGGTTTTAAAGCCCAGAGAAGCATCGCAGAACTTGCCTGAAATCTTGGATGTCTGTCCACTCTTATAAAAGGCCTCACACATCTGCACAGCCCTAGTTAAAGTCTTCCCCCTAAGACAAAACAGAGAGAGAAAGAGAGAGAGAGAGAGAGAGAGAGATGTCAAACTGATTTGGAAGCACAGGTAGATGGGTTAGGGCTCAATCTCTCTGCCATGAATCCCAGCACCCTCTCCCCTAGCCATCAATCTCACTGTTTAGAAAAGGTTGCTTTGGCCTGGTTGAGAGAATTAGAGAATCTGATCAGCTGTGGTTCCATTTTGCAAAAATATCAAGAACCAGGAAGAGAGGAAGGGGTAGGTCAGGGAAACAGTGGGATAAGGAATGGAGCTAAAAACTGGGCGAGCGGGGAGGGCATAATACCTAAACTTTAGAGGTAAAGAGGAAACCTCTAAGAACTTGGTAGTTCCTGGGGGGGGGGGGGCACAGGTTAGAGCCATCTGAGAGAGCTGCTGGTGCACATTCCCTCTTTCTGTAAAGAATTTCACCCCCTCAGTTGTCCCAAGGTCCCCAGATTTTCCTTCCCAGTCATACCTCCCTCTCCACCTCACTCCCAGCCCTTCTGAGACTTTACAAGTGGTGAGCCCAACTTTCTTCCCCAAACTCTATTTATTGTGATTAAGTTCTCTTTTGGTGTTTAGATCTCCCTTCTTTTTACTGTACTGTGACACACGCTGCCTACCTCGCCTCAGTGCTTTAAAAAGTACGAACAGGAGGGGGTGAGCATGGTCGACAAAGCCTACAGGCGGTGAACAATGGCTTCTATTCTCCGGCTTTCCCCAATCCAAAGAGCAAAACCCAGACTCCCTAACCAGCAACACAGCTTCCAACCAAATGTACCAACAACTCACCAACTCACAAAGGGAAAGGAGGGAGGGATTCTTCTCACTTCAGAAGTCCTGACCCAGCGCAGGTCCCTGAAGGCTCTCTCACTACCACCCCCTCCCTATCTTTCCCTAAAGAAGGTTCTTGGGGGAGGATGGAGAAAATAGAAAAGTAATTTCTTGTTATAAATTTCTGGAGGTAATTGTGTTACTGGTGTGAGTTGTTAGGGGCTGTAAAAAGATACAAGGGCACCGTGGGGAGCTCAATTGGGAAGGGAGAGTTACAATAAAGAGTGCATTCAGGAGGTTCGACCAAAAAAAAAAAAAGGAAGAAAAAATAAAGAGCTAAAATAATGAAATACTGACAGCATCATCTATTTTTAAAAGCATTCTTTTATCCATTTTGCTTGTAATGCTTATTAATTTTGCCTGCTTATGAGTCAAGAATTTCAAGAAGTACCTTTTCCTCTCCAAGGCCTGTTCTGGTCCAATTTTTTAACTAACTGGGAGACAGCTTAAATTCATAAAACTGAAGCTACTAAGAAGACTTTTTTCTCAGCATCTGATTGTGCCATAGCAAACAGTGGCCACAACAAAATGTAACCTCTAAAACCCTATGGGGTTTCACTCTCTAAAGAGCCTCCCTCCATCTCAGTCCTAGAATCTACAGCCCTGCCAACACCAGACATAAACCCCAACTCTGGCTAGAATGTACTTTTCCCTAAGTGCACGTAGCAAAAGGTAGAAGATGGGGACAGAGGGAAGTGAATTCCAATTGGAGGGGTAAAACTTTCTGAACTTCTCTCTTTAAACCCACCCCCTACACCATCACAATTGCTTGCCCTCATCCTTAGCTAGTTTCTTCTTCTTCTTCTTCTTCTTCTTCTTCTTCTTCTTCTTCTTCTTCTTCTTCTTCTTCTTCTTCTTCTTCTTCTTCTTCTCCTTCTCCTTCTCCTTCTCCTTCTCCTTCTCCTTCTTCCTAGCTGATCCTTGAACAGCCTCACTGATTAATTTTCGAAGCAGCTGGGAAGGTGATAGCATTTCAAGTTCCGGTTCTCCTCCATTCCCGTCTCCCCGCGCCCCCCCCCCCCCCACAACTTGGCTAAGAAGCTATCTAATTACTTAAGTAATAGTTCACACTTAATGCAAAAGTAACTTGGGAAGCAAGGCACACTAACACCGGAAGCAGTCCAGTCGTGTTCTTAGTGCCGCCAGACCCCCAGCCCAAGCCCAAGCCTCCTAACCCAATCTGGGGCTTTGTATGGCTTTGGTAAGGCCAAAGACCCACATTCAGATGGAAGTCTTCACAAATCTCAAACTCCACCAGCATACTCCACAAAAGGCCGCTGGGCTATGACCCCACTCCCTGTCCCTAATACAACTTTGAGCTTTAAATGCTGCTGTTTGTTTTAATGCCTTAATTCTCAAAATCCACACCAACCCACCAGACTCCTTAGCTGGGATGAAGGGGAAAACTCATTTTCGGGACTCTAACCCCTTCCCCCAGTAATTAGCAATTAGGATGACAAACTTTTATTCTCTAGGGCCAAATAAGATAACAACTAATCAAATTGCCTTCAGACATATGCAAAGGTCACCGGGTATTACCAAAAAAAAAAAAAAAAAAAAGTAATGTCAGTGGCAGCAACTATTATTTCTCCTTGGTTCACTTGCCAGCTTCCAAGTACTTTGCTTTTCATTTCATTTTCTGCTGTTTTTTCCCCCTCTTCAAGCCTTCTCAAGTTCAAACTAAACATCCAAAATGGCTTAGAGAGCTTGGGAAAGCAAGAGAGAAAAAGAAAGAAAAGAAAACCACAATCACTTTGTTTTTAAACTTTCCAGAAACCATGATGACTGAAGGGCTAGGTTTTCGCACTTGAAAAAGAAAGCATTTCCACTTGAAATTCAACTCCACTTCCCCCAATTACACTTGCTAAAATTCAGGGCTATTATGGCAGCACAGGGAGACTGAGAAAAATCTGCACCAGGAAAGAAGGCAACAACTTTATGAACTTTGAAAAGACACTTTTCCTCCGGGGGTCTTAGAATCCCCAAACTCTCAAATTACTCAGACTAATTAGTTGGGAGAGGATTTGATTAGATGAGAGGGAAAGCCAATGCTTTCTTATATTTTTAAGGCAACACAAAAGAAAAAAATGAGGGGATTCAGAGTACAAAAGAAGGAAAGAAAAAGAAAGAAGGAAAAAGGGAGGAAAGAGGGAAGGAAGGAAGAAAAGAGCGAGAAAGAAAGAAAGAGAGAGAAAGGAAAAGAAAAGAACAGAAAAGAAAGAGGCCACCTTTCCAGTTGGAAACTTGTTGAAATGGCAGCACTACGAGGCGACTTGGATCGAACAGGACAAGACCGAACACCCACTGAGCTCTAGGGACCAGTGATGAGGAGCACCTCAACTTTCTCCGAGAGGGGAAGAAGGTGGAGGGGCGCGGGGGGGGGGGGGGGGAAGGGATCAGAGAGTTTGCCAGCGCGAGCTTCGCTCTCAAGTTGAGCCGGACGCGGGAGCCCGGGGGGCTCGGTGGAAGCTGACAGTCCTCCCGTTTGCTGGGCTCCGAGCTCTCTCGGAGCGTGCGTCCCACCGCCTTGGCCTGCTGGCTTCTTTACCGGCTCGAGCTCGCTTGTGGTTTCTCTCCGCCTCCAGCTTGTGGCTGCCTCGCCGACTGAGTCCGATCGCGCCGGGGGCGACGGTGATGCCCAGTGCTTTTCCGCGCCAGGGTCCAGCGCCGCACAAAGCCGGAGGACCGGCCGGCGGGCGGCGGCGGGACCAGCTGACTCCCCCCCGGCGCGCTTCCGCGCCGCGCCGGCTCTCTGCGCGCTGGCTGGGCCCGGGCTGCACAAAGCCGCGGCGGCAGCAGGTCTCAGCCGCCGTCCCCAGGCCTTGGGGCTCCATGGAAGAGTCTCTTCGATCTCCCTCGAAGGCCTGGAGTCTTTGGCGACACCCGGGCCGGGAAGGGAAGCTACAGCTTCGCTTGGAACCCCGGTGGTGGCTGCTGCGAGATCCACCCGCGCTGGTGCATCGCCGGCCGCCCTCGGGGTCGGTGCCCGCCACCGCTCCCGGGGCCGTCGCCCTTCCGACGCGGGCTTTCGCTGGAAGTAGAAAGTTTGGGATCCTGCGTGGAAACTTCTGCCCAACTCTCCAGGCGTCGCCGTGGGGGGAGGGGACCAGCGAGAGGGGAGGAAGGAGGAGAAGGGGGGAGGGAGAGGGAGACCTGCCTGAAGATTACAAGAAACAATCATCATAAAGCGAGAAGAAAGCAGCGCACTCACCTTTCTGAGGCATCCTCTCTCGTGGTCAGAGCTCCTGTCAAGAGTTTTGTTTGGTTGGGTTTTTGATCTTTTTTTTTTTTTTGGTGTTTTGGTTTGGTTTGGTTTGGTTTTTCTGTTGTTGTTGCTTAAAGACCCACAACCGTTTGAAAGGATGGTGTTTTAAAAGAGTTGCTCGTAAGAGTTTTCTCCACAGACGCTGCAGGGTTGGTGTGTGAGAGCAATTCTCAGATCCCTGGGAAGGAGACAGAGATTGACAATAAAATGGGCTGTCAGCGGCTGGAGAGTGAGAGATAAAGAGTGTGGGTGAGGGAAGTGGCTGCAGCCAGCACACCTATGCTGATTGGTGATGGCTCAAGTGTGTTAATGTGTGTGTGCCGGCGCCCGGCCTCGCCTCCACCGCTCCTCACTGGCCCATTAGCGAAGCCTGACCTCTGTCATCATCCTCCAGCAAAACACTTCCTCCTGCGCCTGAACCAGAGCGGGAAATGAGG